GGACAGAATTTCCGCATACGACAAAATTGTTAAAAGTCAAAGAAATCTCTTTAGCCATATTTCAAAACAGAAACTTACATGCATTATATTTGTTAAAACTCAAAGAAGTTCTTGTTGCCGAAGTCTCAAGATAGAGTTCCCTCACACAGAAAAGTTGTTAAAACTTAAACAAGTGTTCTCTGGCTAAGTTTCAAAACAGAAGTTCCACATACAAAGAAGTGGTTAAAGCAAACGTTTTTTTTTTTGGCCATGTTTTAGGACAACATCACCACATACAAAAAGGTTGTTAAAACTCAAATAAGTCCCCCATTGGCCAAGTTTCAGAACAGAGTTTCCTCATACAAAAAAGGTTATTAACACTCAAACAAGCTTCCTTTAGCTAAATTTCAGGACAAAATTTCCTCGTACACCGAAATTGTTAAAAGTCAAGGAAATCTTTTTGGCCATATTTCAAAAGAGAACCTTACATGCAATATATTTATTAAAGCTCAAAGAAGTTCTCGTTGGCCAAGTCTCAGGATAGAGTTCCCTCACACAGAAAAGTTGTTACAGCTTAAACAAGTGTTCTCTGGCTAAGTTTCAGGATAAAATTTCCACTTACAATGAAATTGTTAAAATCAAGGAAATCTTTTTGGCCATATTTCAAAAGAGAACCTTACATGCTATATATTTGTTAAAGCTCAAAGAAGTTCCCGTTGGTCAAGTCTCAGGATAGAGTTCCCTCACAGAGAAAAGTTGTTAAAACTTAAACAAATGTTCTCTGGCTGAGTTTCAGGACAGAAGTTCCACATACAACAAAATTGTTAAGAGTCAAAGAAATCTTTTTGGCCATATTACAAAACAGAACCTTACATGCAGTATATTTGTTAAAACCCAAACAAGTTCTCGTTGGCCAAATCTCAGAATAGAGTTTCCTCACACAAAAAAGTTGTTAAAACTTAAACACAAGTGCTCTCTAGCTAAGTTTCAGGACAGAAACCCCACATACAAAATTGTGGTTAAAAGTCAAGGAAATCTTAGCCATATTTCAGAACAGAATCTTACATGCGGTATATTTGTTAAATACGTTTTACTAAACGATAGGGAAACATGTAAATGCTGTTTAAATGTCTCTCACTTAGTCTAAAGTATGTAAAGTTAAATACTTTCGATTTTAATAATCGAAGTACGTATATTTTGCATTGCAGAAGCTTTAGTGAATAACAGGCAAGCATAGTGTGAGTTTGTACTTTGTGGACAAGCTAAAGAAGGTACGAGACGTAAATTATTGCCAGTTCGCAAACTTCAGTTGCAGTCTCCTTAAAAAGTCCTTGGAATATTAGCCAATCTAAGATGGTCTTCTCTCAAGGACAAAAAAAAGTGCAGATTAGGGAAGGGGGCTGGAGTCTCACCGAAAACAGACATACACATGTGGAGCAAAACAATGACTCAAAGAGAATTAATAACGCTTTTCGTTTGTTGCTAATACTCCCAGTGCTCAAAAGTAACGACAGAAGGATTATCGTTTCTCAGCCGCTGCACTTACATCTGTTTAATACATGTAAAGCGAGAAGGGAGGAGAGAAATTAAAATAATAGAGAAATTAGTATATTCAAAAAAGTTATGACCATCGATATGAGACAGAGAAATCTTTGAAGTGTTTATTACCCGTTACATAGTGGTAAGTTGTAAATGAGATTCACAGTTTGTAATACATAATCGTCATTGGTACCGAGAAGATTTACAAAGTTTGATTACAAAGCTGAACCAAAGGGGTTCTGTCACACAGAACTAATGTGTTTCGACGTGCATCCGTCTATCAGTTTTCTTCACTCTATTCCCCTTTGTTGCTTGGCTAAACTTATCGTATTATTATTGAATGCCACACACGTTATTAATAAACATAAGTTTTTACGTGGATTCATATTGGTTTCTTTACAAGTCTACTGCAAACCAGCTAGCTACACTTGATTTAAACTAGATTTAAGAAAAAGTATAAACATGTTCCATGTCTTTTTTTTTAATCTAAATTTTATTGAATAGTTCATGGAGTATGTTGTTTCATCGTAAAAGATGCATGATGAGCATTTGATGATTTTGTATGATATAATTCATTGAGATTTTGTTCAGGCCATCTTATTGATTAGACTAGATAGGAATCACATTAAACATTCAAATCAGCTGCGAGTTTCAACTGTATAATAAGATGGCTATACGTGTTTGGGAGTATTATTCCGCTAAGAGAAACAAGAGAGAGATTCAGAGACTGATTTTAGTGCAGCCTTGGGTTAATTATTCGTTTTTTTTTTTTTTTATGCAGAAATACACTTACAGTTGTTTGTAATGCTCTACGTCGTGCTGGCCGGAATAGAACACCAGAATAATTTTTGGGATTTTAAGGGAACCCTTGTAGCATCAGGCTGCATCAAAATCGGTCGCCGAAGCTGATTCCAATATCATGAGTTCATGATAGTGGAATCAACTTAACAGTAACCTGCTCGATACAAAAGAGACTACCTTGACTCTCGTGGAGCGTGCTTGAACGTGTGGTAAGTTAATTGCGTGGAAAATGGAACACTTTAAATCAGATAGGATCACTGCGTTGCTAACGTAAGTTGGCAGTCACGAGCGTATTTTTCATTAGAAAAATATTGAGCTTCTCTTTTTTCAATCTATCAATGAAGTTTACTGTGTTTGTGCGAAACGTGTTTTTGCTTTCGATTTTGGATTTTATGTTGTGGTTGCCATGCTGGTGGAAGCCATCTCTAAGCACCGCCAGAGACGTGCCATTTTTTGATTTTTTATCGCTGAAAAATGCGTGTTCTTACAAAATATGCTCAAGTCGAAAATACCCCGTTAAAAGTATAAGAAGCGTCGTTTCCGGGGAAAGAGTTTTTTCTACGAGATCAACGCCAGGTCTTTTGCGCGGAGGAAGTGTCATGGTAGATATCATACGACCATTGCTATGAGCCTAAAATGTACGCGTAAGGCTAAGCATAACTACCTGCAGGTTGCCTTCTCCCTCAGATAAATAAATAGCTGACTTTCGACCGAACTAGCGTACCGTTGCAATCAATAGATCAATCTGATAACCGAAAAATGTGACCTTTTTTCAACATGGAAAGCGACAGTCTAATTTCAGATAGGCTGGATATCGGACAAAGACGCGTATTGATCATTGTTTGCTTTACTCAGTGAATGATACATGTTGAACCTATCCATGGGGCTGTGAAGTGTTCTATGTCGTCGTCGTTGTGGCCTCAACAGCGCCGCACCGTACTCGATGGATTTTGCTGACGAACACTTAATTTCGAACTAACTTACCGAAATATAACTGAACATAAAAAACGATTGTTGTTGTTGCGATGAGCTGAAACCGAAAAGCTAATTAGTTCTCTAAAAAAAACAAAAAAAAAAAATGTAGATAATCCTGATTCACGCCTGGTATTCTAGTTCCTTAGCTAGTTCCCTTAGATTTTCTAGCTATAATTTTGCTATTATTTGACATCTGCACAACCTTGATAGCCTAATGGCCGGGGGGGGGGGGGGCAAGCTCCTTCTTTCAGTCCAGTCCAGTCCCATGTAACATGGTTTGTCGATAGTAATCGAACAGCTAACTGGCAGCGTCTATGAACAAGTGCTCCATGGAAAAAACTAACATTTGGTATCGACATCTTTGAAAATCAGACATAAATAGCAATACCTGTTTTTACAATAAGTACGTTGGGTTACCAGTTGTCTGTATAATTGTGTCCCAGACGCATAATATCGTATTCAATACTAAAATTGGTAAAAAAAACACACCTTTTTTTCGAAAAGATATCGAGACCCTTGGGAAGAAATTGAAATGTGTGACATATAGAAAAGTTATAGTCGAATCGAAGGCAATACAGGGAGAACAGACGTGAGTTATTATAGTACGTGCGGCTTAAGAGTTAGTTTCCCATAAAGGAGATCTACAAATCAAAGATCCATTTATTTGGCCAGGTCTGTTATTAAGCTTATAGTTTATGTACTATCTAAACTGCTTTAAGTACTGTAGAAGATTAACACCTATATTTACGGTAAATACATGGGACAGTGTAAGAGTAAGGCGACAATGTGACAAATCGATTTTTCTACTTGGTATATCTTGCTTATGGCCTTGTAAATTACCACTAAAATCTACAATGTTTGTACGAACTCAAGTGAATAGTTAGTAGAACTTATTGAGTGCCGTATTCTACTGCTATCCAATCTACAAGAGCTGATCGGGAAGTGGTCGAAGCGGTGTTGTCAAATGAAAAAAAAAACAACTATTTCGCATATACGTAGTAACATTCAAGGGTCAAACTATATTGATTAGTTCGGTGAACTAAGTTCCGCCTAAGACACATATGCGGTACCTGTAACATGTCGACTTTGATCGTCATCACGGTCAAATATGGTGGCCCAAGTGACCTATATTCAAGTAAGTCTAGTATCATCGTTCTGGTCATTTTCCTGGATGCTTCTCTACGATGACAACCCTTTCTGAGTACTCGTACAGCTGTGTATCGTTGATTTCTATACCGTACGTCCATCATTATCACTGTCGTCCTGGGCCATCGTTGAATTCGTACAGGAGTTATTCTATCAAAGAAATTTAGTCGGATATTGCACGCTGTGATGCAGAGTCACAGTTGACCATAGAATGTCCATTTTCGCATTTAGTTTTCTAGCAAACATCGTCATTTATATATATATAATGATGTTTGCTTTTATCGACGACGTAAACGCTATCTCGTCTGTTGCGAAATCAATTAAGCTACTCAAATATTTGAGTTTT